CACAGAACACTATAACATTCCTAAAATCAGCTGGAAGAAGTTGTCTCTCCACCCAACGTATGGAGCAGCATCAAAGGGAAGTGGAAGGCAAAATTGGGGTTATTTTTGGGCCTTTGGTATTTTCTGCTGAGACAGTGCTTTCCAAAGCAGTCTGCCCTCTCTCTGTTAACTTGATTAAAGATGGTCCTTTTACTCTATTTTGGTTTCTGGGTAGCATATAGAAGACAAACTTTTTTAGTTTGGACTAGAAATTTTTGAAAGTTTATCCAAAGGTCAAGGTTGTTTCTGTGGGTCACAGAACAGTGTTTTTATCCCAAGTTGCACCTAACTCTGACAGCCAGTCAGCTATCTTTCCCTGGATAAAAAAGACTCCAGAGGGGATCCCTGGGTGGCGCAGCGGTTTGGCGCCTGCCTTTGGCCCAGGGCGCGATCCTGGAGACCCGGGATCGAATCCCACATCAGGCTCCCGGTGCATGGAGCCTGCTTCTCCCTCTGCCTATGTCTCTGCCTCTCTCTCTCTCTCTGTGACTATCATAAAAAAAAAAAAAAAAAAAAAAAGACTCCAGAGAATCAGGAGCTAATGCCAGCATGACCTGCAACTTGCAGATCCTCATCGAGCCCCGAGCAAGTTATCCTTCCAAGCTTCCTCTTGCTTAGGGCTTATGCTGTTGTTCCTTCCAGGACCTAGGGAAGCCACTTGTACCTTCATGGACTTCAGAATGCCTTCTCAGCCACTGGGCCTGTGAGCTACTGCTGAGCTACTGCACCCTGAGACGCTGAACACCTGCCTACGGCCAGGTTGGAATGTATGCCTTGTCCGTCTGCACCTGTGGCCAGCATGCAGCCTTTCCCCCCTAGTGTCCTCTGTTCCAGACATGTGTAGAGGGTGTTGCTATGGCAGACACCACTGATCAAGCACAGCAGTCTTTGTAATGGAACCCAGACACATCCTGCCTCACTTCCCTTAATCCTAAGGTTGGAGCAGCACTTGTATTTATTCAGAGTCATACAACATGTAGCCTGCTTGGCATTCCTTGCCTAAGGCACCTCAGAGGTGACAGGACCAGGGCAGAGCCCCAGCAGAGGCAGACATGGGTATGGTCAAAGGGGAGGACCCAGGTGCTGGTGAGCCATGATCTTCAAGCACTTACATGTACCTACCAGATGAGGATCAAATTGCATATACTATTGGGAGAAAGTTTCTGTTGACAGAGCCTGGATGGCTCAGCGGTTGAACTCTGCTTTCAGCTCAGGGCGTGATCCTGGAGTTTGGGGATCGAGTCCTACATTGGAGAAGACTGCCTCTCTATGTGTCTCTCATGAATAAATAAAATCTTTTAAAAATAATAAATAGCTCTGTTCTATCAACTTGTTAGAAAAAACATTGTCTTGTCCCTCAACAGCAGAACAAATACGGTTGATTCTTTACAATTAAGAGGTTTATTCTAATTCCTCTTAAAAATAAATAAAAACTATGAGAAGTGAATCTATATTCAGATGTGGAGAAAAAAGCACGTGGGAACGTATAAAGGGTTTGAATCCTGGAACCAATGTTTTGGTTCAAATCTCACCCATCCATCCCCATTCTCCTAGCCCTGTAACCTTAGCAAGTTAATCATGTCCTATTTACATGCTTGGCACAGGGCGTGGTATATGGTACACACTCTAATAACTAGATAGTATTTCCTACAAATTCTGAAAAGCAGAATGACAGAACTACTCTTTTATGTAAAAGTCATGAAAATAGTAAAAATACTGTATCAGCACACAGTGAAAGAGAACACAGAAAAACCATACCAAATGTTTTAATCTGCAGGGCTACCACAACAAAATAACAGACAGGGTAGTTAAATGACAGGTATTTATTTCCTCTAAGATCTGGAGTGTCAAAGGTCAAAATCGAGGTGTCAGCGGCGTTAGTTTCTTCTGATGCCTCTCTCCTTAGCCGGCAGAAGGCTACCATCTTGCTGTCTCCTCACATGGTCTTTTTCTCCATGCACCCACCTATCCATGTGCATAATCTCCTCTTCCCATAAAAATCCTAGTCATATTGGATAAAGACCTACCCACAGGACCGCATTTCACTTTCATTACCTCTTTAAAGGCCTCTCCAAATACAGTCACATTCCGAGGTACTAGGGGTTAGGGCTTCAACATGGTAACGTATATAAAGGATGAAAAATGTGCAAGATCATTTAGTAATTTAATTCTGGATAATTTTTAGAAAATTAAAATGTTTTAAGTATAACCGTCTTCCTCCAAATAATAGTAAAAAAAAAAAGTGTTCAATGATTTTGCAGATTTCCCACTAGAAATAACCTGTAGGAATATTTTTATCAAATTTCTGCAGAAGGAGAAAAAGCAGGAATACCTAAACTTAAAAGTAAGGAGATAGGGGACACCTGAGCAGTTTAGTCAGCTGGGCATCTGCCTTTGGCTCATGATCCCAGAATCCTGTGATGGAGCCCTATATCAGGCTCCCTGCTCAGTGGGGTGCTTGCTTCTCCCTCTCCCTCTCCCTGCTTGTGCTCTCTGGCTCTTTATCTGTCAAATAAATAAAATTTAGGGGGAGAAAAGGGGGGTTAGAATGAGGGGGGGGTTGGGATGAGAGGGAAATCGCACAGAAAACAGTAATTAGTTTATATACAATGAAAACTTTCCATATACAAAAAAATTGAGTAGAAAATTATGGTTATAATGGACTACTATTTGTTACAAAAGCTTGTACAGATAATTAAAATCCATATCTTCAGAGTTTAAAGAATATAGGAATAAAGAAAAAAATGTAAAAGCATTTTATAAAAATGTGAAGCAAAGTAGGAAAATGTTCACTATCACTTGTAATCAAAGCAGCACATTTTAAAAGACTTGTGCAGGGAACCTGGGTGGCTCAGTTGGTTAAGCCTCCCACTCTTGATTTTGAGTCATGATCTCATGGTTGTAGGATCCAGCCCCACGTCTGTTTCTGCACTCAGCTTGGAATCTGCTTGGGATCCTCTCCTTCCCTTGGATTCCCACCCCCCCACACACACACATACTCAGTCTAAATAAATAAATGACATCTTTAAAAATAAAAGATTTATGCATGTGTGTGTTTACAACCGTTGCAAACAGCCAGAATCCACTACTGCTTAGGGGTGAAAATACTTCATGAGTTAAATCAATTCCAGCTCTGTGCTGAAGCCATAGAGCTCTTGACAACTTCTCCCCTAAGAATTCTGCTTCCTGAAATTGGAGGTGGCAAGAGGTTGGGGCTGTTTTGCACAAACTAGTCATAGCATGGTAATGGGTAATGGAAAAACAACACAGCTCAAGCAGGGCACCTGTGCTGGCCTCAGAGGAAAATGAGACAGTTAGTTTAGTGGCTGGATACCTTCCAACAGATCCTGGCTGTTCTTTGGTGAATCACAACGTAAACAGAATAATCATTTGCCTCAGCTTTTGTGTTGAAACACCCACCCCTCTGCAGGGAGGAAGGCTCGATTATAAGAAAATGAGCACTAGGTGCTATCCAGGGGCTAAACCACCAACTTCAAAGTGAGAGCCTCAGAGGAGAAGCACTGGCACTACCGTAAGCTTATTACAAATGCAAATTCAGGGGGATCCCTGGGTGGCCTAGTGGTTTGGCGCCTGCCTTCCACTTGGGGCATGATCCTGGAGTTCCCAGGATCGAGTCCCACGTCCGTCCGGCTCCTTGCATGGAGCCTGCCTCTGCGTCTCTGCCTTTCTCTCTCTGTATCTCAAATAAATAAAATCTTTAAAGAAAGAAAGAAAAGAAATGCAATTCAGGGATGCCTGGGTGGCTCAGCTGTTAAGCATCTGTGTTGAGCTCAGGTCATTATCCCAGAGTTCTGGGATCGAGTCTTGCATGGGGCTCCCTCTGTGGAGCCTGCTTCTCCCTCCACCTAAGTCTCTGCCTCTGTGTGTCTCCAATCAATAAATAAAATCTTAAAAAAAAAAGAAAGAAAGAAATGCAAGTCAGGGGCCTGTGCTTGAGGGCCTGACTCTGGCCATAAAATCATATATGGGTTACCAGATTCAAAATGGTAGAAGCACGGATGCCTGGGTGGCTCAGTGGTTGAGCGTCTGCCTTTGGCTCAGGCAGTGAGCCCGGGGTCCTGGGATCCAGTCCCACACTGGGCTCCGTGCAGGGAGCCTGCTTCTCCCTCTGCCTAGGTCTATGTATCTCTGTGTGTCTCTCATGAAAAAATAAATCTTTTTTATAAAAATGGTAGAAGAGAAGACAAAAAATAAAACCACTACCTATCAGCCTTTTACCCACCCCTCACATCAAGACATGAAGGAAAAGAATCAATCTTTTGCAGATTTGCTTAATTTTAAGTGAGTAAAGATCTTTATGTCCTTGGACAAAAAGGAAATTCACTTCTTTACTAGAATGGCACTACAAACAGACTTTTGCATCAAAATAATCAAAGCATTACCCATCAAGACACAGGAAAAAAAAAAAAAAAGAATGCAGAGACTTATGGATACTTGCTTCTCTTGAACTTTAGTAGAGAAGCAGGGCTGCTTCTCACAATGCTCCTGAAAATACTTATGCAACAGGATGCTCAGGAGTTTGGGGACCTGTCCCACCAGCCTTCAAGAACTCCTCAAGTTGTTTCATCTTCTCAGCTGGATAAGGAAAAATGCTGTCTGTTGCAAACTACTCCATCACTGAGGGGAATAGGGGAGGAGGGAAGGTGCTAGCAGCATCACTTCTCAGGTAGGGGCTCTGAACAATCTGGAAATAGTGGTGAAACCAAGCTGAGGGGGCATGGGCAGTGACGACAGGCCTGAATGTATTCAATTTCCGTTTACTTTCCCAAGGTCCTACTTGGACTCCTCTCTACAAAGGGATGCCCAGGGGTTGCATGAAGAAACACTGCAGTTACGAAACTGCAAAGTTTTGTTAAGTAATAAAGGTTGGAAGAAAGCCAGGTCCCGCCAGGTGGTTCACCGGGGGCTCCCTCCACATGCAGGCTTTTAGAGACCCTCACCTCTGGCACGATGTTTCCGGTGCCAAGATGCCAGGCTCAGGAGCACGCTCTTCACCCGATTTTGTACACGGGGCCATCCGAAGATACTGATTTCAACTAAGTCTCCAGAGTTAACTACGTCCACCGTCAGCAGGACTTGGCTCATCCACTCTATTTCTGGAATTATGGCTCGGTCTCGGCCTAAACAGGAAAAGAGAGACTTAAGGGAAACATGGTCGGGGGGCAGCCCGGGTGGCTCAGCGGTTTGGTGCCTGGCTTTGGCCCAGGGTGTGATCCTCGATCCGGGGATCGAGTCCCACGTCGGGCTCCCTGCATGGAACCTGCTTCTCCCTCTGCCTCTCTCTCTCTCTCTCTGTGTCTCTCATGAATAAATAAATAAAATCTTTAAAAAAAAAAAGAAACATGGTCGAAGGTGAGTAGGAGCTAGGTTTGAAGGGAATGTTGGCCGGGGAAGGAAGGTCGGCATCGTGGAGTCAAACGTGGCCTGCAAATCCGGCAGAGACCGTAGAGTTGCTCTGCGGGGTCTCTCACCGAAGATGGCGTCAGCCAGCCACGCCTCCAGGTAAAACACCAGCGGGTCTCTCAGCTCCTGCACTGGAAACCACCAAGGCCGGGTGCGAATCCGCGGTGGTGGAAGTGGTGCCCTGAGCAGCCTGTCCAGGGACCGGGCGGGCCTCCATTCGTCCCCCGGAACCTCAGCAGCACCCGCGTCGTCGACCATGCTAGGTCCAGCAGCCCGGGAAGAGAAGGGTCCAGAGAGCGCCGGCGGAACACCAGGGAGGCACGAAAGCTGTGCCCCCCTTTTACGGTTTCCGGCCAGCCCCGCCTCTTCCTGTGGCTCCGCGGGCGGTTCCGGGTGAACGGAACCTCGTTCGCTTCCGCCGCAGTGGCGGGGGCGCCGGGGGGCCAGCCCCCACCCCCCCGCCCCAGGGCTTCCTCCTGGTTCTGGAACCTGCGTGCGTGTGAGCTTGAGCCGTCCCTCAGAGGCTACCTGGGGTCGTCTCCAGGCGGGTGAGTGAGACATCACCTAGCCTCAAAGAGCCCTGCCCAGCACTGAGCTGATTGACAGCGTGGCTTGACTCGGAGGCCTCGTGACCCGGAATCACTTTTCGTGCCTACCTTGCGGCTTCGGCTTTACCTTCCAGAGGTGGGTGGGCAGGTGGATCAGGCGGAGGGCAGGCTCATCGGGTCTACATTTTCTCCCTTCTGCTCCCTGTTGTCTCCCAACAATGTGTTTGGTTACTACTTCAAAATCATTCAAGCAAACGTGTCGTGTTTTGAAATAGAAATGTCAGAGGTGGAACATGTAGGAACTATAGACCGATTACGTTGTTGTCCATTTCTGCCCAGTGTTTTTAATTTTATTTATTTTTTAAAAATATTTTATTTATTTGAGATAGAGAGCAAGTGAGAGAGAGAGACCATGAGCAGGGGGGGAGGAGGAGAAAGGGAGAAGCCGACTCCCCACTGAGCAGGGAGCCTGCTGGGGGCTCCATCCCACGACCCTGGAACCATGACCTGAGCTGAAGACAGACGCTTAACCAACTGAGCCACCCAGGGGCCCCGCAGTGTTCTTAATTTTAGTCAAAAATTTAAATTATGACAGATTTCACACATTCAAAAAGTTATATAACAAATACCTATGTAACAATCCCCACCACCGTCCCATTTGACAAGAAGCTAACATTTTCCCACCTTTGCCTCACCTCTCTCTTCTTTAAAATATACACCACATAAAGCATCTTTCCTTTCCCTCCCCACAAGAGAACATTGTCCTGAAGCTGTTGTGCATAATCCCATGCATGTTCTTAGACTTTTTATAGTGCATATCTAGAAATCTTTTTATGTTAAGATTTTATTTATTTATTTGAGAGAGCATGAGCTGGGTGGGGGGCAGAGGAAAAAGCAGACTCTCTGATGAGCAGGGAGCCTTGATCCTGGGCCTACCAGATCATGAGCTGAGCCACCCAGGCACCTGCTTGAAATCTTGTTTAGTACTTGTTCTAGAATAGATAGCATATGCTGTACAAACTATTTTGTTCTTATAATTAGCCACAATGTGTTTGTTTAAAAAATCTTTTTGGGGAAGCCTGGGTGGCTCAGTGGTTGAGCATCTGCCTTTGGCTCACATCCTAATCCTAGGGTCCTGGGATCTAGTCCCACATTAGGCTCCCTGCAGGGAGCCTGCTTCTCCCTCTGCCTATGTCTCTGCCTCTCCTTCTGTGTCTCTCATGAATAAATAAATAAAATCTTAAAAAATAATAAAACAAAAATCTTTGTAATGGAAAAATTTTCATTATTTACAAAAGGGTATACTACACTACCAAATAATCAAATAAAGTAAGAGATGAAAATCATCTTACATTCTTATATTTAAAAATAAGAATATTTTAACAAACTACATTTTTATTTTTATTTTATTTTAAAGATTTTTATATATTTATTCAGGAGAGACACAGAGAGAGAAGCAGAGGCATAGACAGAAGGAGAAGCAGGCTCCTCTCAGGGAGCCCAATGTGGGACTGGATCCCGGGACTGTGGTCACACCCTGAGCCAAAGGCAGATGCTCAACCACTGAGCCATCCAGGTGTCCCAACAAACTACATTTTAAAAACATTATGGAAAATGTACATTCAGAAAAATCTAGTTTTCTTTTATTTTTTAAGATTTATTTGAGAGAAAGCAGAAGCAGGAAGAGTGGCAGAGGGAGAAGGAGAAGCAGACTCCTTGCTGAGCAAGGAGCCTGATGTGGTATGGGGCTCCATCCCAGGACCCTGGGATCCCAACCTGAGCTGAGGGCAGTTGCCCAACTGACTGAGCCACCCAGCACCCCAGAAAAATCTAGTTTTCAATCCCTTCTTGTTTCTCCTGTCTTCTCCTACCCACTATAGTTAACTATTATTCATTTCTGTATTATCTTTCCATTGCAACAGATGTATATACAAGTATCTGGGAATTTTTGCTTTTATTATTTTTTTGGTAATATTACATGTATTTTATTATACTCTTTTCCCATCAACTTTTTATTTTGAAAAAACATAAACCTATCGGGAGATTTTAAGAACATTAAATTTATATTCTATACTTTTCAGTTTCACTAATTAAATTTTCTTTCATTTTATTTCTCCCTATATACAGTCTTTAATGAACTATTTGTAAGTGGCAAACATGATGACACTACCCCAAGTATTTTAACATTATCTCCTAAGAACAAGGACATTCTCCTAAATAACCATATCAAATTATTCATCCAAGGCCATAAGTGTACTTTTTGATCCTGTGTAATGTTAAATTCTTGCAACTGAATCAAAACAGTGTTAAATTATGGCAATATTTGCACTTTGGGAATGAGTACATAACTGTATGATCACACTCTGCAAATGCCACTTTTAAAGCTGTTAATAGACTTTGCACCTTTTCTTTGACAAGGATGTGTCATATTTAAATTTTTACATTCATCATTGCAACAGGTAGAACTGGTGAGGGGGAATGTAATTTCTTATGGGAATTTTGATATGAAAAGAAACTAGTCATTTATTTATACAATAGGCTTGGCTCAAAAAGTGTTTTTCAGACTTGATATTCCTAATGTGGGATGTGACTTTATTTTATTTTTAGTAGCAAATTTGGATGTAGACTGACAGACATAGCTGAATGTCTTAATAAATTTAAATTTGAAGATAAAAAAATTATTCATCCAAAAAATATAACATTGATTCAATACTGTTGTCTAATATACAGTCCAATTTCAATTTTACCAATTTTTCCAATAATGTACTTTATAACTATTTTTTTAATCTACAGTCCAGTCAAGGAGCTCACACTGCGTTTACTAGAGACTTATCATGTCTCTAGTCTTTTCTAATCTAGAATCATTCCTCTTGTTGTTGAATTAATCTTTAATGATACTGACATTTAAAAAAATTTTTTTTAATTTTGTATTGTGGAAAATTCTAAACATATACAAAAGTATATCTGGCTTTTATCTATTTATATACTCAGTCTCTCATTTCCCACTTTTGGCCATTCTCTCATTTTGAGATGTTGACCAATTCAGAGAAAACTAGAAATCCACATTCTCACTGTTTGGAGAGCATTCCATTGTCTTCATGGTCAACTGCATTGCGAGATTTTGTTGCTTTATTTGTTCATAGATCATCTTAGAGATCATCTGGTGAGAGAATGACTATGTAGAAGCACAGGACCCTGGATAGAATGTGTCAAAAGAAAATTCAGAGAACTCTATGTGAAACGAACCACCCATTTTCCACTCCCATTCTGAGTGGGAAACAAACTTGGACAATAGGGAGACTTCCAAACCAAAATCAGCCTGAAGCTCAGGTTATAAAGCATGAATGAAGTACCTTGTTTTGTGTTGTGATTGACTGCTAGAAACAGACATTCTTTTTTAGAATACTACATAAGCTTACCTGTTTGTACCTGATTGGCTAGGAAGCTACAAGGTTATGAGAAAAGCTTAGGTTTTGTTTAAGCCAGAGTAAGAATTTCAGGGAAATCAGGATAGTTTTATAGTTTTGGTTATGTGATGACGAGTGTTCTATCTAGAAGTATATTTAAAACTGTGGCCTCCTTTAACAAAATGCAGTAGATCTGCATCAGAACCATATGATAAAAACAAGAACAATCCCTATAAAATGTGTTGGAATCAGGAATCCTAATTGTCCCACCCAGGCCAAGAGAATGAATCCTGTAAACTATGAACTTGTCTGGATCACTCATGCAAAATTACATGAAATGACTTTTTGCAGTTAGTGATGCCTAGGGAAGGAGGCTTTCAGGAGCTGCGATTAGCAGGGAGCAAGAACTGAGCTGCCAGGTGTCAGAGTAGCCAATTAAAGCTACAAGCCAAAAAAGAAAGTTAAACCTTTAATCGCCTACAGTAATTTTATTAAGCAAGAGGCTAAAAGCAGAGGAAGTGCTGCCTCCCTCTGTTCCATTTTCCCACACGGAATGTGGTCAGGTAATAAGCACGGACATAGGAGTTGTCTCACAGTTGAGGGAAAACAAAAACTCTGGTAGTTTTATGGATCCCGAGGTAGGTGGGGGCAGAGGAGGAGGGAAAGAAGGAAGGGCTCCGAGCAGGAAAGTACTAGCTACAGAGTAACAGTGAGTAAAACTTTCCTCAAGGTTTCCTCCTGCCTCTTATTCCCCTTCAACTCCATGAGGATGCCTCAGCAGAGGCTTCAGAAAAAGACCTCTGACAAAGGCCTGGAATAGAGACCTAGGAATGTAAATATTCAAAAGGGCTTAATGGTTCTGAAAGGGCCTGAGTCCTTGACTGCAACTCCCTGCAGAGACTGCAATGCGCAGGCTGTACATTCTCTAAAAGGAATCCTTTATCAGTTGACTTTTTTTGGTGGAATATATTCTCTTCCCGGGAGATAAATATCTTAACACTTTGGATGCCCAAAAATGTTTTAAAATTTTCCTCCTGTCCATAATTTGGGCTATATTCTGAGTTTTAAATACTTTTCCTCTACAATTTTTAAGGCAATTCTGTTGTTTTCTGGCCTCTAACATTGCTAGATAACTGAGATACCATTCTGATTTCCCTTCCTTTTTTTAAGACTGTCTTTTAGAGCAGGCTTAGGTCCACAGCAAAATTGAGCTGTGAATTCCACTTTCACACAACACAGCCTCCCCACTAGCAATGTCTCGTACCAAAGTGGTACATTTGTTGACAATCAGTAAGCTTACAAGGACACATCATTATCACCCAAAGTCCATAGTTTATATTAATGTTCACTCTTGTATATCCTATGGGTTTTAACAAATGTATGATATTCACCATTATGATATTACACAGAATAGGTTCCCATTCTTTTTGCCTGTCATTTTCTTGTTCTGTCTCTGTCTGTACACGTTTGGGACCTTTAATGTCCTTGTCCTTTAATGTCCTGATAAAGTGCCTGTGTAATTTTCTTTTATCCGTTGTGTTGATCAGTTGGTGTGCCTTCAGTATGCCTTCTCTTTCAGTCCTAGGAAATTTTTTGAGCTATTTTTAAAATTTATTTATTTATTTATTTGGAGAGAGAGAATGAACAGGAGGAGAGGTAGAGGGAGAAGGAAAAGCAGACTCCCCAGGGAGCATGGAACCCTACTTGGGATCCATCTCACCACTCTGAGAAGATGATCTAAGCTGAAGTCAGATGCTTAACTTAGTGAGCCATTCAGGTGTCCCTTTTTGAACTATTTCTTTGACAATATCTTCCTCAACATTTTCTCTATTTTCTGAAATCTGTTAGGTGACTGCTACATTTTTTAGTGGATCTTCTAGACTTTTCACATATTTTTCATAAAGTTTCTTTCCTATTGATAAAGCTCTTCTAGTCTTTGAATATTTTTATGTGTTTATGGATTTAATGTCTTCTCTTATCCTTCAGAATATATGAATGCCTTTTCAAGTTTTCTTCTATTTGCTACATTGCTTCTGTTTTCAGATTTCTCTTTTATGCTAGAGATTTTCTTGGAATATTGCTCATTAAATATGGCTGTTCCTGTTTAAGAGTCATCTCTTAAGAAAGCTTGATTGACAGCTTTGGGAACAGGAGTTTACTCAAGGGCTTCATTGTAAGAACTTTAGCTACAACAAAATCACCTGGAGGACAAGTTAAAACACACATTACTGCCCCATCACCACTGCCTATCTCCAGAGTGGGGAATCGTTTCTAAGTATTTCTCACGCAGAGGAAACTCAGTAGGCAAGCCCTTCCTCCTTATTATCAGGGTTTTGTGTTTTCTTGAACTAATCAGTTTCACCTGAGAGGAATTATCCACCCTTCTGCCTGGAAGGTGTAAATCTGTGTCCGAGGGTTATGGGAGCCAAACAGGGACAGAGGAGTTGTATTAACTTCCTTATTTGCTCTTGCACCTTTTCACTCTTGTAGCATCTGTTGGCCCAGAGTCCAAAATCTTTCTGAATCTATACCAATTTCAAATAGGCCTTCAATCAATGACAGGAACAGAATGGTAGAAGGGGCGCAATCCTTCTGCCTCTTATATGTACTTTCAACTAATTCTTCTACCCTCATCCTCACTTTGAGAGGTACTTTGTGCCTCTCATCTGAGGCCGACTGAGATTCTACAGAAGAAGCCAGCCTTTTCAAGGCTTAGTTTATGGCTTTCTTTGGTCTTAATCAAATACCACACTTTCATCTGCTTTCTAGCTTCCAGTATATATATATATATATATATATATATATATATATATATATATATATATATATATTTAGCCATCCTTCATCCTGACCATTCTTTATTTTTATGCATTTATGTCTTTTAATAATCTATTTACTGTCATTTTAAAGGGATTTTTTGGCAGGGTGCATAATGAATGATGTGTGTTTCAATCTATCATTTTTTTAGGTCTTTCATAATTAGTATTTTTAATCTTCCCTCATAGGGGAAGATTAAATACTTTTTTTTTATTAGAGAAGGAGAACGAGAGGGAGGAGGAGAGAGAGAATCTTTTTTTTTTATTTTTATTCATTTATGATAGTCACAGAGAGAGAGAGAGAGAGAGAGAGGCAGAAGGAGAAGTAGGCTCCATGCACCAGGAGCCCGACGTGGGATTCGATCCCAGGTCTCCAGGATCGTGCCCTGGGCCAAAGGCAGGCGCCAAACCGCTGCGCCACCCAGGGATCCCTGAGAGAGAGAATCTTAAGCAGGATCCACACCCAGCACAAAGCCTGACTCAGGGCTCAATCTCACTCACAACCATGAGATCATGACCTGGCCAAATCAAATCAGACACTTAACTCATGGAGCCACCCAGGGGCCCCATAATCTTCCCTCATACTTGATGAATAGTTTGGTATAGAATTTAAATTTAAATGATAGCTAAATTTTATTTTCTATATGAAGGTAATGACACATGTCCAGGTTTGCACTCTAGAGTCCTATATTAAATGCTTTCAGTCTTCCACAACAAGAGGAAATAAATGAACCTTGAAGTGAACACACACCTTTAGAAAAAAAGCAAACCCCCAACTTCAGGACAAAGTAAAATAGGGCATAGATAACTTAAGTAAATGAAATGTTAAATGGATGAAATTTTGTATTACACCAAGAGGAAAAATAATATAAAATGAATACTGGGCATGAGAATTAAACAAGAGATAGGGAAAAAGCCCAAATAGTGATAGGCGTGTCACAAAGTTCTTAAGAGTCCCCTAGCGCTGGGCTTACAGAGAGGCTCTGGCAATTCTCTGCCTCCAGCCCACTCCCTCTTAGCGCCCCCCTCAAAAAAAAAAAAAAAAAAAAAGCTGCTTTTCAGAAAACTTGAACATCAGCTGTGTAGGACATACCTTCAGGAAAGTAAGATTTAAGCACATCTCCGAAGCAACGTGAACCTACGTGAACCACAAATAAGTTCGATAACTTCTCCCAGTTACCTGGCCTGGATAAGATGGCACACTGTTACCTTACAGGGATTCTCAGTGATAGAGCTCCGCATACATCTCACGCTTGTTGAAAACCACAGCAGAGTCTCCCTCACAAATAATCTGAAAGGGCCTCATTCAGTCACTTCTTCCCTAAGCAGTTTTTCTCCAGAGTGGATCCCTCTTCTCCTGAGGGGATCTCTCCTCCGGGCTGTGAGAGACTGGAATCACATCCAGAAAGACTGGGCTTGTCTCCAGGCTGCAGGGAGATCGTCTGTGTCCTCGCTTCCCTGCCCCTCTCCCCAAACCCTGGCAGCCAGTGCTTAGGGAAAACCTGGGAGGGACATGCAGACACCCTTGAGTTAAGGGCTGGGAGGAGGATGGGGAGTTTTCCCTGGAGCTCAGAAGCAAACTCCAGAGGTGGAGATGGATAGACACACAGAGCAGGTGCAGGCAGATGCCCACCCCGTCACCCCAGCCTGGGAGGGGGTAGCAGAACCCCCGTCTTACCCTCTAGGTTGTATCTCTAAATCGCAGGGTTCAAGTGCAATCTTAATGCCTGCAGGAGATTCAAATGGGAAAGCTGGAAGATTCTAAGAACCTGATACTGGTCCAGGTCAAGGCTGCCTGGTGGATTCAGCATTTGGTGGGTGAACCTAGTGCCCCAGGGCGAGCCCACTCCAGAGGGGCAATTGCGCCTTCCAGAGCACAGTCCCTGACTGCTGCTGGGACCTCCTGTGAACACTAGTTCCTTCTTCCTGGCCTCACAGGGACTGGGACCCAGATCTCTGGATCTGAACATACCCTCACCCCATGCAGGCCTCCCAAAAATAGAGCTTTGGTTCAATACCCTAATCCGTGTGGACCTGTGCTTTGAGGATACCAGGAAGATCACAATCTACAGCCAATGCTACTCAGTGAACGGACACAATGGATTATCCAGCCATTGGTGTAGTAACACCTACACCACTAAGCCCAAAGTGAGAGACCTGGGGCAGGGTGGGTTTGGGTGGGACGAGGGGGTACCTGGTGCCGCTATGCAGGTATGTGTGAAAAGGGAGGTTTGTTTATCTATCCCCTTCCCATCTGACAATCATGACTCCTGAGCCTCTAAATTTTCAGGTGAATCGTTTAGCCTCATCACGTCCTGAGCATTGACTGAGACCGAGTTTTGCAAGTGGGAAGAGCCTGGAGGCTTGAGTTGAATGGAAATGGCATACAAGTGCCTATTTTAAATTTCATGCTACATGCTTCTGATTCTAATATGGCTGCTCTTCTCTCTCATGCAGGGCAACTCAGATCTGAGGAGGCCAAGAAAACCCTCGGAGAATGGCTCTGGGACAATCATGTTGCTGTCCCACAGTGAAGGCATCTGGCTCTACTTCCTGAGGGGAGTCAGGCCCTGGAAGTTCAAAAAAACACAAATATACTCAGAGCTCCACCTTGCTTTTAGCTATCTTGTTTTTCTTTTCTTTTTTTCTTAAAGATTTTATTTATCCATTCATGAGAGACATAGAGAGAGAGGCAGAGACATAGGCAGAGAGAGAAGCAGGCTCTATGCAGGGAGTCTGAGGTGAAATCCAGGACTCTGGGATCGTGCCCTGGGTGGAAGGCAGACTCAACCACTGAGTCACCCAGGTGTCCTGGCTGTCTTGTTTTTCTATGCAAATAGATTTATTTCATGGCTCACCACAAGAGTTAAAGTAAAGATATGCAGTTCTGTGCTAATGGCCTGGTAGGAGAGCCTTTGGTTTCCCTAAGAGGTTGAGAGTGAGAGTGGGAGAGATGGTGGAAGTGGCCTGCAGTCACCAGGACTCTGGTATGTGTGGCTTCCTCATTTTAAACACTGGCTTCATGCAGCTCGGGGTGGAGGTGTCACACCTGGCCCTGGATTGAGTCTATGTTCACCTTCCCCTGCAACATCCCACAGCAGCTGGTGGGTGCCTGAGAGACCCTAAGGTGTGTCTGGTGTATAGAACACTAGGGTGTGGAACCTTCATGCTGAGACCTCTTGGTGACTCTAGACTAACCTGGCTGGGCAGTGCCAAACTTCAGCTGGGAATTTCTTCAGATACCCTGTATTTGGAGCTGCAACTTGTAACCTTGGCTCTGTGGGCACTGCTGCACGTTTAACTCCATGAAGAATACCACCAGTTTCTCCTACAGGGCACCTCCATCACCAATGCTGAAAGACTGACATGGGCTCTAGTCTACATCCTTGTGGGTTCCACTTCATGCTTGTTCGTCCTACTTTGTCCTTGCTTTCCCTACATTATATCATCTTCCCTTTCCTTTTTGTCTGCCCTGAAGTCTTCAAGTTCCAGCATCCACTCCAAAGATAACTGCCTTACAAAGACTATTTAATCAGCTTCCACAATGATGTCAGGTCAAATCCTGACAATAAAGGGAAAAATCTGTCATTACTACCAGATGATATGATTGTTGAGATTAATTAATTAATTTAAAAAACTGTTGGAATTAATGAAAGAATTTATCAAGTTTCAGATACAAGATCAACATAACAAAATCAATAGCATACTATACCAGTGGACAATAATAAACAGAAAATATAACAATTTAAAGAAAATCTCAAATAATAAAAAACACAAAGTACCTCATAATAAATCTAGACCTATATGAATAAAATGATAAAAGTTCGCTTCAAGATATAAAAAAAATGACCTAAATAAACAAAGAACTATACCATTCGTGAACATGATGCCTGTCCAAAAACAATCAAATTCTCCCAAACTCCAACAGTTTTAGTCACTTTGGAAGCTGACAGGGCATTAACTCATTACACTGAAAACTGGCATGTAAAGGGAAAGAACCAACTATGTATACCACCCTTCTTGTAGAAACTCTATTTCGGGATAATCAAGACAAGGAAAGTACTTTTTTTTTTTTTTTTTTTTTTAAGATATTATCTTGGGCAGCCCAGGTGGCTCAGCGGTTTAGCACCACCTTCAGCCCAGGGCGTGATCCTGAAGACTCAGGATCGAATCCCACATCGGTCTCCCTGTGTGGAGCCTGCTTCTCGCTCTGCCTGTGTCTCTGCCTCTCTGTGTCTCTCATGAATAAATAAATAAAATCTTTTTAAAAAAGGATATTATCGGGATCCCTGGGTGGCGCAGCGGTTTAGCGCCTGCCTTTGGCCCAGGGCGCAATCCTGGAGACCCGGGATCGAATCCCACGTCGGGCTCCCGGTGCATGGAGCCTGCTTCTCCCTCTGCCTGTGTCTCTGCCTCTCTGTCTCTGTGTGACTATCATAAATAAATAAATAAATAAAAAGGATATTATCTTTATTTATTCATGAGAGACACAGAGACAGAGAAGCAGAGACATATGCAGAGGGAGAAGCAGGCTCCTATGGGGAGCCCAATGAAGGATGCCATCCCAGGATCCCAGTATCATGACTTGAGCCAAAGGCAGTCAGTCAATCACTGTGCCACCCAGACATCCCAGAAAGTACTACCTTTAGAACTCAAGCCAATAATAAGGAGTAAAAAGATAAAAGATGGAATTAAAGTATTACCATTTTGCAATCGCCGATGAGATAACAGACCTAAGCAGTGATCATCAATGAATACAAAAACCATTAGATGAAAGACCGATGGAAAAATTCATAATAGGTGAATCGGGATATCAACACTTGAACTCACTAATTCTAATATTATAAGTGCACAGCCAAGACATCACATGCCTCCTATGTGCAAGAGGAAGTAAAGAGCTCACATAGAAAGTCTTGCTTTCAAAAATAAAATTGAAACTGAAACTATGAATTTTTTGCTCTATCAGTTTTTAGGAATCCTGGAGATAGGTGAAACGAGGATACAATCAGCACAAGAAGCATGGAAGAATAATTTGGTTTTCTTTTTTTTAAGATTTTATTTTTATTTATTCATGAGACAGAGAGAGAGAGAGGCAGAGAAACAGGCAGAGGGAGAAGCAGGCTCCATGCAGGGGGCCCTACGTGGGATTCTACCCCGGGGTCTCCAGGATCAGGCCCTGGGCTGAAGGCGGGGCTAAACGGCTGAGCCACCAGGGCTGCCCATGGTTTTCTAGGTCATACACATGTTCTAAATTTTAAACAGACTGAAAGAATCAAGCAAATGTGACAGGTGGATCTTTAACATCTGGATTCAAATAAATTAAAATTTGAACAGGGTCTGGATATGATATATGAATGAACTGCTATTAATTTTATTAAACATGATAATGGCATTAAAGTTATGGATTCTCCTCTATCCTCTGTCACCAGTCCTGACTTCTCTAAAACATTCCCTTTAAAGCCTAGTGTCCTGAAGATCCCATTCTCTGGTTCTCTTCTTTCTCTTCACACTTGCTTCCTAAGAATTCTTATTTATTCTCAAATTTGACCAGGTTTCTAAACCCTGATCTCCATCCAGTAGCTCTTTCCCAATGCTACCAAATCCACCGACTATTAAGTCCTCAGGATATCAGAAATTCTACAGGTTCTGGTGTCAACTCTGTGTCTCATTCTGTTTAAACTGCTTTCCAGAATAGATGACCAAAATAATAACACTGAAGCATCTTCATCAACTCCCTTTTACCAATCTCACATACCTACTTAAACCTTGAGGCACCTGAAAGACTTCTTTAAAAAAAAAAAAAAGATTTTATTTATTTATTCTTGAGAGACACAGAGAGAGAGGCAGAGGGAAAAGCAGGCTCTTCTCAGGGAGCCCTATCTGGGGCGGCGATCACTCTGAGCCAAAGACAGATGCTCAACTGCTGAGCCATCCAGGCAAATTTCTGTAGGAGGTTGTTCTTCACCAACTTCAAATAAAAAGGATATGTCAGGGGATCCTTGGGTGGCGCAGTGGTTTAGCGCCGGTCTTTGGCCCAGGGCGCTATCCTGGAGACCCGGGATTGAATCCCACGTCAGGCTCCCGGTGCATGGAGCCTGCTTCTCCCTCTGACTGTGTCTCTGCCTCTCTCTCTCTGTGTGTGACTGTCATAAATAAATAAAAAAAATTAAAAAAAAGGATATGTCATCTTAAAAGGATAATTTGAGGGGCACCTGGGTGGCTTAGTTGGTTAAGCACCTGCCCTCTGCTCCGGTGGTGATCCTGGGGTCCTAGGATCAGCCTGCTGAGCAGGGAGCCTGCTCCTCCCTTTCCCTCTGCCCTTCTCCCAGCTCATGCTCCCTCTCTCAAATAAAATATTCTTTAAAAATTTTTTATAGGATAATTTGACAATCACCTACCAAAAATTTAGTTTGTAGCCTTTATGATTTAGTAGTTCAAAGTCTAGGACTCCCTCCTACAGAGACTCACAAATAAAGCAACATGAACAAAGTTTGTCATTTCAGCGTTGTTTGCTATAGTGCCAAAGTTTCAAACAAACGTCCAAAACGAAAATGATTAAAATCTGCGAACCAATTATCTTAAACCACATAGACAAAATACAGTGCATTGCAAACGTTAAGAATAACGTAATGGATCGAAAGAACAGAATATCTTTGATGTACAGTTCAGTAAAAAGCGCAAGTTACAGATCCGAAAGGCGGGACCTCAGTTTTGTATCAAGCGCTCAATAGCGGTGACCACGGCCTCTGGCCCGGGACAGCGAGAGCGGCGGAGACTGGAGACGCCCGAGGGCCGCGGGACGATGAGGCCAAAGCCTACGGTGCGAGCGGCGGAGGAGCTGATCCAGCGAGAAACACGGTTCCGCGAGCCGCAGGACGGGCGCTGCGGGGGTGGAGGAGCCCAAGGCCACGGCGCCTCGCGGCCCCGGGTCCCGCGGGCAGTGGCACCTGCGCCCGGGACGGAGTCTCAATCGCGGCGGTTCGTGCGCCTCCAGAGACCCACCCACCCGGGTCTACTTAGGACTGAAGTAAAGGACAAAAACCAGAACAGAAAGGAGAGAAAATCCCTCCGGGCTGCGCGGCCGGCCTCTCCGATACCCCCGGCTGCGAAGAAAGCTCGCAGGGAGCGGCGTGGTCCGCTGCCCCCGCCCCCGCCCCGCCCCGCCCCCGCCGCGCGGCCTCCCGCTGCCCCCGCCCCGCCCCCGCCCCGCCCAAGAAGGCGGGCGTCAGGGTCCAGCCCGCGGCCCGGCCCCGCCTGCGGGCTGAGGAGCCACCCAAGACCCGGCTCGTGGAGACCTCGGAAGTCGGGCCGCCGGCTATTTTCTGGTGGTGCCTGTGCTCATCCTAGGGGAGCTGGGCTTTGGCTCTTCCTTGCGGCCTGATTGTGTCTGACTTTAATCCAGGCCTGCACTGGACCAGGAAACCTTGGGGAACGCGCTGCCGTTCCCTTCCCGCTGGAAGCAGGCCTGGCTAAAACGGTTTATGGTCATTGATTACAGAGGTGATGCCCACGGGAGGCCCTATCCCTCCTCCCCAGGCCAGGCAGCTGGGGGGGGGGGGCGGCAGGATGAGATGCGGCCCTCCCCGGATCTACCCGTTACCCCGCAGGTTGCCCGAAATTCCCC